ATATATATATATTAAAAAGATAAGAACGCTAACTTGAACACTACCCATGTTTCGACCGCCAAGTGGGTTTGTTCAGTGAATAAACAACTTAAATGCCTTCATTCGACACCGGAATTAATGGGGGTGGTAAGTGAAAAAAATGATTCCATTTTTATCCGGGTTCGTATACCCCCCCAAAAAAAAAAAAAATTAACTTTCAGACGTGTCCTCATATATGGCAGCAGTATTCCATGCAAAGGCGGATGGTTGACATAGATTTGAAGGATGGACTCATCGAGAAAAAAAAACTTTCTGGCACGAAATTTTCCTTGCAGTAGATGAAGCTATTGATTCAATGTAGCTGTTCCACGTCATGTCAGCGGACAGCGTGAGACCAAGCAGGCGCAGAGAGGCGCTCTCGTGGAGTTGGACATCAGCCATTCTGATGGAAGGCAGGGAGGAATTAATGTTGGGGGAAAACGCAAACGGTCGTTCTCCTGGAATTTAGCAGATAGAAAAGATTCTCTGTGGCGATTAAATGAAAGTAGTTTTACTTTGGAAGCGTTAAGAAATCACAAGCCATTCCTTGTCCCAGTTAACCACGAATCGGAGGTCCTTTTCGAAAGCAGTTGCCAGTTTTACATTGTCGGATCTGTCGGACTTGCTAAGACATGGGTAAGTAGTTCCGTCATCTGCATAGATATTTAGTCGGAAATTGATGAAATCGGGAAGGTTGATTTCTAAACGATTAAAGCGTCCGGCAAGTTTAGAAGCACAGCTCATGCGGACCTTATTCGGTTTCCCAATGCATTTGTCTCCAAATACCCAACATTGAGACAATACAACATTTATTAAGAAAGGTGAAATGTAATAACATGAGCACAAGTTTCGGAAATCAGTGCACTTTCTATACATATTCGCCTTAGTAAATTATTTACAGTTTTAATTAAAACAGCATTTTATAAATCGAAGTTATGAGCAGATTCATTACAAATGAAGACTAATGCACTGAGTGTGTTGTTTCGAAAAATGTCTCTTTTGTATTCTTGTAATCATTATTAAAATTTCCTCGAAGTCACTGATCTGTATTTTTATGGTATTATTACAGTCTTAAATTTAATTTCTGCTTCATGTTTTAGGTCTTTATTTTGTATTAATTTGAGGGGACGAAAAGTGTTACATAGAATCTTTTGCACTTATCATTCAATTATCTATCTATAATGACTTTTACACGGTACTGTATATAGTGTTAGATATGAGCATATATATATATATATATATATATATATATATATATATATATATATATATGGGGGAAGTATGACAAAATGGAAAACGTTTTCTTGTGAGGCGTCTCGTCCTGGGGATGCTGTGAATGCTGGGGTACTGGAGATTTTAGATAATTTTTTAGAATTTTTTTTTTTAGAATTTGTTTTAATTTTCCCGAATATTATTTTTTTTTACCCAATATTATTAATTATTTATTTATTTTCTTGACATATAAATATATATCGTTATCTTATATATATATATATATATATATATATATATATATATATATATATATATACCATATGTATATTTATGCTCATATCTATCTAATTTTTACGAAAATATTCAGTATTTATGGGCGTTTTCTATTCCCACATTCTTTGGAATGCAAAGAAATAAAATCTTCCAGCATTCCAATGAGTAACTTTTACTCAATCCCCCCCCACACGCACATACGCAATTATGTGACTGTGTGTGTTGACCCCATCCCTACACACATCTACTTTACAGTGACTGTAAGCTAACTCAACACATCCATAATAATTAATATCCCAATAAAAGGGTCCCACAAAAATATGGCAAGCTCCAAGACACGGTGCAGCTGTTAGAAAGCTCGTTTTGTCGACCATTTCCTGAATTTGTCCCTCAGTCAGACTATGCTATAGGTATTTCACCATGGAACAAAAACTAGTATAGTGATTTTGATTCTCACTGTGTGCCCAAATCTGTTTGGCTGTATGTCTAAGCTTAACCTGCTTGCTGCTTTAGAGAGTTATGCAGCTGTCGCTAAATGTCAAAGGTTGAATCGAGATGAAGATAAGAATTTGGAATCCTGATATACAAGATAAGCACGTGAGGGTGAGGCAAGTTATGCAAAAATAAAATGTCGCCCAACGTAACTTTTTATATCAAAAGGTAAAACAAACGAAATGTTTATCTGAGAAATGTCTATTCCTTAGTTAAAAATTTGTTATTGTTATGCCAGGAATCATATAGGTAAGGGTTCATTTTCTTGCGCCGTCTATTTGGTTTACATTCCAAATTACAATTAAAAATAACTCCCTAAAAAAGAAATAGTACAGTTTCAACACCCTTAACTGGAACATAGTTGACATTAAGCGAATGGATGTCAGAACGAGAAAGCTTCTCAATCACCATAGCAAGCAACATCCTAAGCCAATGTTGATTGCTGTCCAGATCCGAAGGAGGCAGAGGATTAGTTCAACTTGAATTGTCTCACAATAGCACAACACCTCAGGATAGAAACGTTTATTTTGCAACTTTCGCTGTCAATGAAAAATGTGTTATTGCCATTATTTACATGTGTCAAGGTCCATTTCCAGCGCCTGTGGTCATGGATACGAACTCAATTTTGTTTAAAATAATAACCTAAAAGAAAAATGTTAAGTGTTCCGTAAAAAATATTATGAAAGGGTTTGATTTGTTTATATATACATAGTATATACAAACAAAGCCAACCCTGTCCAAACATACTAACATGCATATATATATATATATATATATATTCTATGGTTATATATATATATATATATATATATTCTATGGTTATAATTTATTACATTGGACTCGTAATCACGATTCAATTCATCAAACCTACAAATTCAAAAAGTTTATTTCAATTTGTAGGTCTGATGAACTGGACCGTGATTACGATTCCAATGTAATAAATTATAACCATGGAATATTAGTGTTTAAGCCTTTTTATATTATATTCTTACTCTGTCCTGGACATTGAGTTCTACCTGGATTCTATCCACTTGGAAATTTATATATTTATATATTTTTATATATATGGATACATAATTTATATATATACATACATATATACATACATAAATATGTATGCATATATATACATATACATATATATATATGTATATATATATATATATATATATATATATATATATATATATATATATATATATATACATATATATATACATACATATATATACATATATATATATATATATATATATACATATATATATATATATATATATATATATACATACATATATATACATATATATATATATATATATATATATATATATATATATATATATATATATATATATATATATATATATATATAGGAGATTCAAACGAAAACATGTTAAAATCGCTACAACATCCGTCCTCAAAGATATTTAGGAAGTACCGAAAAGTGGATGGTGATCTGTGGCAAAAGACATGTAAGAAATAATAAATGTTATTCAGTAATAAAAGAAGCCAACAAGTTCAAAATAGAATTTCACGTGGTTGGAGAAGTGCAAGTAAACAATAAAACACCTATTGCAGCGATAAAGAACCTAAAAAAGAAACTAAAATCAAATGCAATATACCAAATGAAGAAAATATGGCAAGATAAGCCTCTTCATGGTCAATACTCTGTCCGTACGAAACAAGCTGATGCATACAAAACCCCCATACCCTATCAGGGGTTACATAGTGAAGGATTAAAAGCTACAACCGAAGGTTTTATTCTTATTGCACAGAAAATAAAAATGACTAATGATCATCTTGTATCAATTTACAAGGTATTATTATCCACATAATATAAAACTCGGCTTGTCGAAGTGGGCTACGTTGGAAAATCTGCAACTTTTGCGGGAAGGAAACTGATAGAAATTGGAATGAACCTTATCCAGAACCGGTTCCAATCACAGACAGAACAATCAAATCTAATCATCCAGAAATAGTTTATCAAGGACGATAAAAACAGAATAAGCTTTCTTACTGATTCCTTGTAGATTGTTGGTTATCTTCAAAGAATCTTTAAGCGGAAATCTAAAAGATTGTAGCACATCAATGATTCCGGATGTGGCTGAAGTCCTAGGTTTGATTGGAAAAAAGGTTACGATAGACTCATGGAAGAGATTCCTGAAAACCAATGCCTTAAATAAATACAAAAAAAAATGTTCTCTTAGTTACAGCTCACACATTACGAAGGGAATTATCAATGTAAAATGTATGATCTTGTTTTATTTTTTTATATTTTTTTACAAAAATGTTCAGTGAAAAATGTCAAAATGCTATTTCTGACCTTAGGTCTCTGGTTGGGACCCGAAAACAGAAACCAGAGGAAATACTAATAACAGTACTACTACTACTACTACTACTACTACTACTACTAATAATAATAATAATAATAGATTTTAAAAAAGGAACGAGCCAATTAATTGATACGTCTTGCCCACAGGATTCCAATGTTTCAAAAAAATAGAATTTCAAAAACTGTCATATTGTAAGGACCTGCAAATCGAGCTAACAAAAATATGGAAACTTAAAACTACGGTTATCTCCATTGTAATGGGGGCATTGGGTTTGATAAAGAAGGGTACCGAAAATAAGAACTTTGTCCATATAATGCTATTGATGTTACGGGAGTTAGAAAAACAAATCATGTAGTCATAAAGACACACCGCTACTTGCCTCAGGTCTTCCCGAAGACTTGGTAAGTAGTGTGACCATAGCAGATATTGAAATATAATAATAATAATAATAATAATAATAATAATAATAATAATAATAATAATAATGCAAATAAACCATCATAAGCGATTTCAAAAAAAGGAATCTGCCAATTAATTGATATGACTTGCCCACATGGTTACAATGTTTCTAAAAAAAAGAATTTCAAAAACTGTCATATTGTAAGGACCTGCAAATCGAGATAACAAAAATATAGAATTACCAATTACACCATCCGCACATCCAAGCTGGCAACTCATGGTACTCCCAAGCAGTCACCCAGGTACTCGCCTGACTCAACATTGCTTAACCTCTGTGATCGTACGGGAATCGGTGCTTCAACTTAAAATGCCGTAATCAGACTTGGTAGGTAGTGGGATCATAGTCAAAATCAAAATAATAATAATAATAATAATAATGGAAATAGACCAGACCTAGCCATAAAAGATTTCTAAAAAGGAACCTTCTAGCATATGAATTGCCCACAAAATTCCAATGTTTCACAAAAAGAATTTCAAAACTACCAAATTTTAAAGACCTGCAAATGGAAGTAACAAAAATGTGGAAACTTAAAACTACGATTATCTCCGTTGTGATGGGGGCATTGGGTTTGATAAAGAAGAGTAGCGAGAATGATGTGAGTAAAATTCCTGGACAGAAATCAGAATCACAGAGCTACAAAAGATTACTTTGTGTAGATCTGTACATGACATCTGCAAAACTCTCTCCATCTAAAGGAGACGTTCCAAATGTGCATAGGTAACTCTTCTACATTGCCCTTTTTACTCATATACCCCGAAGGAACTTTGGAATCAGACACGTTTGACACGTGGAACTAGAACAGTTTACCCCAGTGAGCGAAATAATGGGCTCAGCTCGACATTCCAACCACCTGAAGAAGGCTGGAGCGTACAACGGCCGAAACGTTGTAATAAAAATGGCAACTGTTGAGGGGTCCTCCCCTTTTTACACAAATGGTCCGTCTTAATGAAACACCATTTATCCCTAACTTTTATAAAATCCATATTTAAAGAATTTAAAAGTAGTTTGCCAACAACCATAGACGTTGTAAGCTAAATCTTTTCACTCCTCCATAAAACATCCTTCAGTCAACAACATGGACTTTTTTTTACCAGAGAGAAATAAAAATAACGCACACGTATATACATTATCCCGAGTCCTGCATAGAATTATGATGCACAAACACATATGAATTATACACACGAACGCTGCTGAACAAGACAAATACACGCGAGGTCTACTTAACCAATGAAAAGCAAGCAACGCAAAAATAAGAATACCCGAATTTTTTCTCTCCCCTTCACATTTAATTTTCTGATGAATCTCTATCTATAAAAGACAGGATGTGTATGTGTGTGTGTGTGTGTGTGTGTGTGTGTGTGTGTGTGTAACGAATGCACGGCCGCAATTTTCGACGATTTTGCACCAAAAATTAATTACATGCACATGCTTCAAGTTAGCGGGAAGGCCAAGACCGACTTTGCATTTCCCAACTCCCATCGATAGTGGAAATAATTGATTTTTTCATGCTTCTACGGCAGCTTTCATGTAGTTTGCGGCCATTTTCTACTGGCCAGAGTGAGAGCCTATAGTTGGCTGCTACGAATAGGCAGGAAGATTCTATTGATCAGCGTGAGAGACAACAGCTGACTGACACGAATGTTAACTAGCATGCTAGCATGCGAAAAAAAATCGATAGCTGCATTTGTCACAAGTGGGAAAAATTTAATTCTGTATGGCACTTTACTTCAATTGGCTCATTCGATTGCTCAACATTGATTCTGATTCTGCAGAACTGGGTTGGGTGTGAAAAAGTATTTGTTGTTAACATTCTTTTTTCATTCGGTTTTTCCAGTTACGAGTCCTTTTTTTTTTTTTAAAGCTGATCGTTTTGTGTTCATTTTGTTTAGTTCTTTTTTCGTAACAGATTTAATGTTTAGTATAGAGCTTAGAAAAAATTTGCAATGTGAGATAGGCAAGAAGTAAGGCATGTAGCAACATCAGCACGGAAAAGGGCACTCCTTTTAAGGCAAGGAAGGGCAAAAATATTTTAAGTCAAGTGATAGCGATTGCTGTATGAGTCGTACGATTTTTTAATCAAGTACGGGCAACGCCGGGACATGCTGCTAGTCTTCAATAAAAGCGAAACTTGGTAAATTCATAAACATTTTCTATTTGTTCCTTATCTTATCATTCTGTCGCACATTAATGCATATTTGATCTATATGTGGTCCCTGTTCATATGTATATATAAGTATATGTATATAAACATATTGGGGAGAGACAGCATTCAGAGTTCCAAAAGCCACTCTGAAATGAAAAGGAAAAAAAAAAACAGGAAGAATGAAGAACGAGAAGATGGAATGAAAAGAAATAAAGAATCCTCTCACTAATTCTAACGAAAATAAATTCTTGAGGTCGTTCAAACTGTGTAAATATCCCGAAGCGCTTGCATGGTACAATATCTTCCATGTGTTGACACACATCCAAAATTAAATTAGGAACTGTCTCTTAAGAACTTCTGAAACAATGAAACCGCCCCGCACCTCGACATGCAAATTCTTAAGTAGGTGAAACAGAAAGATTCTGATAATAAGAGTGGGTCACGCCCTAAGACCAACGTGATAAGTGTCAACCATCACTGAAGAAACTCCTTGAGATAAAGCATAATGTAACCACATCCTATTCGACTCTTTTCCCGCTCTTTATCTCCCTACGCCTTCTCCTCTGTGCATACAGAACGCCGGGATAACTCTTAATTATCAATGGTAGCACTTGAAGTAATAATAAACATCAACTAACGAATTTATTGGTATTGGATGGTAGCTGCTTCCTTCCGTCTGAACTTCTAAAATTAGGAGTTATCATTATTTACATTCGGAGAAGCGACATTGAATGCAGTCAACGAGCAGAATCAGTATCAGCAGCAGCCGGAATAGAGAGAAAAACGTTACTTTTAAGGAAGCAAGTTCTACACTCAGGATTGTCCCACAGTATATAACCTAGTAGATTAAATCGATGGTTCGTGAATTTGGTAACATTCCCAGCAATCAATAAAACTGTGAAATTCTTAGGAATCTCCCATCCTCTATCGTATAAAACAACTTGAAAGAGGCCGTTTGGCTAATACAAGGACTGACCAAAACTAAAGCAAAAAAAAAAAACAAAACAAAACAAATGAAAACTACAGATAAAGTTCACTTTCTTCAGAAACAGTCATTCACTCCTGTAGTTCACTGCTACTAACAAGCAGGTTTTTTTTCTCCTGATGATGGCCATGTTGGCTGAAACTAGTCAAGCAAGCTAATTGAAATAATAAAACCATAAATATTAATATACAAGCCAGTATACAATATTTACATTATTCTGATTATTGTCCTCATCATTGTTGCTGTTGTGGATTCCGGGTTGAAATCCGGTACCAATAAATAACAAACGCCAAGAATGAATATAAGAAAATAATGTATTAACGTAATAATACAAACTGGTAATGCAGGTTAGTAGTTCCAGGAATGCGGGTTAGTAGCAAAATATATACTTCAATATATATAGCAAAATATATACTTCAATATATATACTTCAATATATACTTCAATACCAAAGACTGTAGTCTTTGGTATTGAAGTATCGCTGTATGACTTCTTACTGAGTTTACGTGCTCGCTCACTGTGACTCCTACAACGCTGTTACCTCACCCCTCACTCTTCCGGTTACCTACAACCTTTTACTCTGTCACTCTGGACTCGACTCGACTCCTCGGTCTTGCTCTCTCGGGTCTTCACGTAGCCGCAGTATATGTATATACTGCTGGGTGATGTTATTGGTGAAAATTCATTACTTTATTGGATCATTTTATTTTTCATGGCAATTATGTGTGAAAAACACACCTACACTCGACGGTCATAATTTTTGGTGACGTCTCTGCATAGTTGCTCGTCGATCTCACCAATATGCCTTATTATTTCATCCTTCAGTTATTGAATTGTTTTTAGCTTGTTGGCATAGACCTTACTTTTGAGATGACCCCAAAGAAAGAAATCTAAAGGCGTCAAGTCGTACGATTGTGGTAGCCAATTGATTTCGCTGTTTCGAGAGATGATGTGACCTGGGAACTTCTCATTCAAATTCTGTTTGATTTCTGTCCATTTTCGTAATAGGCTTTGATAATTTTAACACGTTGTTTCATTGTTAATCTTTCCATGGTTGAAATTGCCAAAGACTTAAGTTGTTAAATCTGAAAGAAAAAGAAAAAATCATTATACTCTTAAACTTACTTCACATTGAAAATCGGTTCAAGTTATTTGAACACCCTTTATAATAAAATGTATTTAACGCGTATTTATTGATGGGAAGATATTTATCAGTGTTCCTTCTAAGTATTTTATACGTAATAAATTGTGTTCTTTTCTTATCGTATAACATCTATTAAATTGAAGTTATGGCTTATCTTATTCCTGCGTGTTACAAACGAATTCAAAGGGTTATCCCAATGTAAGTGTTATGTTCATAGATGCGAGCTTTTAAATTTCTAGAGGTTTCGCCTATATATCTTTTCTAGCTTTGCTAATTGTCATGATGTAAATCTTGGTATACGTATATTGATATATTATTAATATATATGTATATCTTATTTTCAGTAATATTCGCCTATTTTAGTCGCTATGTACACTCATTTTAAGTCCTTGATTAAGCTTTGAAGGGGGAGGATCAAAAACCGGTCGGCAATTTTTTTTCGTTTTGATTTGCTGTTTTAATTTATTTAATTTTATTTTATTCACTTGATCTTCGGTCAAAATATGTCTGTTTTCACGACTATAAAATTTTTTGCACCAACCAAGTAAATGTTATTTTTTTATTTTCCTCCTCTTTTTTTTTCTTCTTCTTTTTCATCGTCTGCTTTTTTTTTTTTTTTTTTTTTCTATTCTTTCTTTTTTCCTCCGGCACTTCTTTCTTTTCTTCTTTCTCTTTATTTTTCCTTCTTTTTGTTTTTTAATTTTCTTTTTTACACCTGTCTTTCTTTCATTTTCTTTCTTCCTTCAAAATATATACCCTTTTTTTAAGTCATTTTTTTAAAGTCATTTAGGACTTCATTGGACTAAGTTTGTTTACGTTAGTGTAACTGCGCATGCGCAAAAACGAGAAATGTTGGGTATTTTAATTTTGAATTATTTTTCGTTTTTTATTTTTATATATGTGTTTTGGAGATAATAATCTATTCGATTTCGTTTACATTCTTTTTTTTTGTTGTTTCTATCACTTTTGTTATTGAATATCCCACATTGTGATAACAAAAGATCGAACAGGAATAGAGAAATGTAAAA